GTAAATATGTATCCATTCCACTAAGATTGTCAAATTTGTTGGCATATAGTTGGGCAAAATAATTCCTAATTGTTGTTTTAATTTCCTCTTCCTTGGTGGTAGCTTCACCCTTTTCATTCTTGATACTAGTAATTTGGTTTTCTTCTTTCTTTTTTTAATTAGATTAACCAAAAGTTTATCTATTTTATTGTTTTTTTTTTTCATAAAACCAGCTCTTAGTTTTATTTATTAGTTCAATAGTTTTCTTAATTTCAATTTTATTAATTTTTCCTTTGGTTTTCAATATTTCTAATTTGGTATTTAATTGAGGATTTTTAATTTGTTCTTTTTCTAGTTTTTTTAGTTGTATGCCCAATTCATTGATCTCCTCTTTTTCTATTTTATTTATGTAAGCATTTAGAGATCTAAAACTTCCCCTAAGAACTGCTTTTGCTACATCCCATAAGTTTTGGTATGTTGTCTCATTGTTGTCATTCTCTTGAATGAAATTATTGATTGTTTCTATGATTTGTTGTTTGACCCAATCATTTTTTAGGATTAGATTATTTAGTTTCCAATTATTTTTTAGTCTATCTTTCCATGGCCCTTTATTACATATAATTTTTATTGCATCATGATCTGAAAAGGATGCATTTACTATTTCTGCCTTTCTGCATTGGATTGTGAGGTTTTTATGCCCTAGTACATGGTCAATTTTTGTGTATGTGCCATGTACCACTGAGAAAAAAGTATATTCCTTTCTATCCCCATTTAGTTTTCTCCAGAGGTCTATCATACCTAACTTTTCTAAGGTTCTATTCACCTCCTTAACTTCTTTCTTGTTTATTTTGTGGTTAGATTTATCTCGTTCAGAGAGGAGGAGGTTGAGGTCCCCCACTAGTATAGTTTTGCTGTCTATTTCTTCCTGTAACTCCCTGAACTTCTCCTCGAAGAATCTGGATGCTATACGCTTTGGTGCATATAGGTTTAGTAATGATATTACTTCATTGTCTGTGGTGCCTTTTAGCAGGATATAGTTTCCTTCCTTATCTCTTTTGATAAAATCTATTTTTGCTTTTGCTTTGTCTGAGATCAGGATTGCTACCTCTGCTTTTTTTTACTTCAGCTGAAGCATAATATATTCTGCTCCAGTCTTTTACCTTTATCCTGTGTGTGTCACTCTTTTTCAAATGTGTTTCCTGTAAACCACATATTGTAAGATTATGATTTTTAATCCATTCTGCTATGTGCTTCTGCTTTATGGGAGAGTTCATCCCATTTACATTCACATTTATGATTACTATCTGTGTCTTTTTCTCCATCCTTTCCCCCCCACCCCCGTTTATGCTTTTCTTTCTCCTTTCTCGCCCTGTGTTTTGCTTTTGGCCACTGCCTCCTTCAGTCCCCCCTCCCTTCTATTATCCCTTTCCCTTTTCTTCCCCTTTAACCTTACTGCTTCATCCCTCCCTTCTATCCCCCCCTCCCTTTTCTTTCCCCTTTTCCCTCCTACTGTCTATAGGGCAAGTTAGATTTCTATACCTAACTGATTATGTTATTCCCTTCTTGAGCCAAATCTGATGAGGGTAAGGCTCAAACAATGCTCATCCCCCTCCCTTCTTTCCCTCTGCTCTAATAGGCTTTTGTGTCTTTTCCTGGAATGTAATGTACCCTTGTCTGCCTCCTCCTTTCTCAGTACATTTTCTTAGATCAGACTAATCCACTTACTTGGATCCATTTAACCCACTTGATTAGATTTTTTTTTATGATTACATCAAAGTCAACTTATATCCACCCCCTTTATGCACACTCCTTTAACATGGTGTAATAACAATACAGTTCTCAAGAGTTGCCAGTGTCATCTTCCCTTGTAGGGATGTAAACAGTTTGCCCTTATTATCAACATATTGTACCTTTGTGTCCCATTTACCTTTTTATGTCTCTATTGAATCTTGTACTTGAAGATCAAATTTTTTGTTGAGTTCTGGTCTTTTTATCAGGAAGGTTTGGAAGTCCCCTATTTCACTGAATATCCCTCTCCTCCCCTGAACAATCACGCTCATTTTCGCTGGGTACTTGATCCTTGGCTGCAATCCAAGCTCCTTTGCCTTACAGAATATCATGTTCCATGCCCTAGGGTCTTTTAATGTAGAAGCTTCAAGGTCCTGTGTAATCCTGACTGTGGTTCCATGATATTTAAATTGTTTCTTTCTGACTGCTTGCAGTATTTTCTCTTTAGTCTGGTAATTTTGGAATTTGGTTATTATATTCCTTGGTGTTTTCAATTTGGAATCTCTTTCAGGCGGGTAGCGGTGAATTTTTTCTATGGCTATTTTACCTTCTGGTTCTAGGGCTTCAGGGAAGTTTTCCTTTATGATTTCCTGAAAGATACTGTGTAGGCTCTTTTTTCAGGTAGGCCAATAATTTTTAAATTGTCTCTCCTGGATCGATTCTCCAGGTCAGTTGTTTTACTGATGAGGTATTTTACTTTTTCACCTATTTTTTCATTTTTTTGTTTCTATTTGACTGATTCTCACTCTCTTAGAGTTATTAGTTTCTATTTGTCCAATTCTAACTTTTAACATATTGTTTTCTTCTGTTAGATTTTGTACTTCCTTCCCCAATTGGCCAATTGTATTTTTTAGGAACTTGTTTTCTTCAGTGTACTTTTTTTCCAGTTGGCCAATTGTATTTTTGAAGGACTCCTCTACCTCTTTCATTTGACTTTTAAAATCCTTCTTGAGCTCTTCTAAGACGGCTTTTTGGGCTTCAGACCAGTTCATTTTCCCTTTTGATGTTGCAGATGTGGGTTTGTTGACAGTGTTGTCCTCTTCAGAATTTCTTTCTTGATCCTCATTCTTCTCATAATATGAATCTATCATATGTTTCTTTTTACTGGTGGTGTTTCTTTATTGCCTGGCCTTTAAAGAGATTGAGCTCTCCTGCTGGGGAGCAGAGGGCACTGATCCAAGCTTCCTGTGTTGGGAGCCTAGGTCTTGGTCAGTGGCTTTGTGTGCTGGGGCCTCTTATGTTGGCAATTGGAGGCTGTAGGGTTCTGGCAGCTTACCTGGTGTTGGTCTGGAATCAGCAAGGCTGGGACTTTCAGGCCAATCTGGATTGCCTGCTTTTCCTTTCCTTTAGCTTTCTTCATCTCCTTTTAGATGGATGTTGCAGGGTGTTTATCTGCCTGGGGCGCCTTGCAGTACTGCCTCCCTTAGTTCTGCTGAGGCACTTGGAGACTCCTTTGCTGTAGAATGCCAAGGCAGCTGGTGGTTTTCTGAGCTGGTTTTCACCAGTTCTCCTGCCCTCACTGAGGCACTCTGAGTACCAGCTATTGGTGTTTTTCTGCTCCACCTACTGGGCTTCAGGATCTCCTCCTTGTTGGCAGTTGGAGGACATAGGGTTCTGGCAGCTTACCTGGTGTTGGGCTGGAATCAGCAAGCCTGGAACTTTCAGTCAACTCTAGGTTGTTTTCTTCAGCTCCTTTCAGATGAATGCTGCAGGCTGCTTATCTGCCTGGGGCCCTTTGTAGTGCTGCTTCCCTTATTTTGCTGAGGCACTGGGAGACCCGTTTGCTGTAGAATGCCAAGGCACCAGAATCTCCTCCTGTTGTGCTGAAGTGAGTCTTTCCACTGGCTGGGCAACTCCCGTTCAGTAGTGCTCCCCTTCTCCCAGGGTAAGAGGGGCCTTTCCCGTTAATCCCTCTAGCTACCTGGGCTACTGTACTGCTGCTCCCCATCTTTCTCCTGGTTCAGGTGTTCCAGGGTTTTTTCTGGGGTGATATTTTCTGGGCTTTCAGAGTTTGATAGGGGAGGGTGAGAGTGACTATCTTTTTCCTCCACCACCTTAAGAAAAAAGTTTTTTAAAAGTATACTTCTAGCTGCATTTGGACTCCATTGAACATTTTTCAAAAATAAGCTCTTCGGAATTGTTTTGGATCATTGTGTTGCGGAGAATATGTAAGTCATTCACTGGTGCTCATGGTACAATATTGCTGTTACTATGTGTGATGTTCTCCTCATCCGGTTCACTTCACTGGGAGTGTGTTTTGATATAAGTTTCTGTTGTGTCCTTAGGTCTATTAATGCATCTTTGCTGCCAGTAGTGGGAGAGGTAGAGGAGAGATGCTAAATGAGTTCAGGTTCAGTAAATATCAGTTTCTGGTTTGGGGGTTGATTTATTTGTTTGTTTTTTACCTTCTTTTGGATTCTGGGTATCTGGGTAACAGCTGAAGTTACTTTATCGTTGGTGCCCAATTTCTATTTTGGAGAAGTTTGAAAGGTCATGGGAATAGGAGAAAATGTCTGGTCTTCTATCCTGTCATGCACATCACCCTGAAGTTTCTTCATTGCATTTCTTAAAAGGTGTTTACTGTTTATAAAGGGAAAAATTTTAAGTGAGACCAGTTAATGATTGTATTATATAATCTAAATTAATCATTATTATCCTGACTTGTATTATTTCCCTAAGATGTTGTCATAACAAATATAATTACAAGTCAAACAATCCATTAAATATGTAAAAAAAAAAGTATTGATGAAGTTGAGTTTTTCAATTAAATGTGATAACCACCATAAGATTTATTTTTTGTCCAGATCTGTGATATCAGAGTATAGAATTCAACCTTAACATAGGCTTAGAGAGTTGCCTGTGCCACTAAGAAGCTAAATGACTTGCCCTGGGTCACTAAGCCAGGATGTGTCAGAAAAAAGACTTAACAGTTTTTCCTGCCTCCAAGGCCTGCACTCTTTCCACTACTCATGTTGCCTCTCTATTATTTAAGATAATATTTCTTTTTACTGCAGAATATTAAACTGATATTTTCTTGAGTTGCTTTGGGTTAGGAAACAGGTAGGTGTTCTATCCTCCCTACACTGTATGATTGTTTCTAGAATAAAATGAGATAATATATGGGAATACACTTTAAATCTAACTTGACATGAAAATATAAATCATATATATTATTGTCATTTAGGAGTTAAAAATCTTAAAATATGATTATCAATAATTCTTTTTTCATATAGATCAAATCCTTTTTATGAACCCAAACTAACTCCTACTCCAAATAATTGGGTGAGTCCAGCTCCAGAACCAGAAACTGAAAAGAAAATGAAAAGAAAGGCCCCTGAGCCACCAGGACGCTTCCCAAAAACAGAAGGAAGGATCAGTGAGAATACTGGTGTTTCTGTAGGAACAGATCTCTCATCTTCTCCTAAGGTAGGTTTTAGTATTTAACAGAGTCATAATGTTTGCCTTTTTATGCCTTTTATTTCAAGTTTAAATGAAAAGAAATGTGAGATATCTTTGACCATATTGTTACTTAAGTAAATCCATTTTGATGTAACTTAATGGGTATATTGCTACGCTTTATTTCCATACCAAAATAAACATATTAGTTGCATATCTAAGATTTTGTAGGTGCTCTTTTGAAGTCATTGGAAAAAAAAGCACAAAAGCAATAATTATTGCAGTTTTGGCAGCTTGGGTTAAATAAAAGGAGTTCTAAGATGGGTGGAACCATTTTTTTCTAGTATAGAGGAAAGAATAGAAATCATCTTCTGGTAAAACTACTGGGTTCACTAATGCTTCGTTGAACTAAGAATTCCACTTGGAAAAAGTTGTTTTCTGATTGACTAATGCTCACTTAAATCTTAGTCTAACTGCCTTTTTTTTCCCCATAGAATTTAATACATAATGATTATATGGAATGAGAAAGGAAAATGGTTTCAAATTCTGAACAGAGCCTGAAACTTTTAAATAATTTAATTTTAAAGAACAGCATTCTGCATGAAGTAAAAGTGTTGGTGTTTTGTAATTCTAAAATCGCTAACTTCTTTAATCTGTAGTAACTATTCATATAATTCTGTAGATAATGATTTTTTTCACCCCCTAATAAGTAGTCTTTTTTTGCTATACACATTTGAAGTCTCATTTCAATACCACTTTTACTTTTGAAGATTTGTAGTCAGTCAAGGGTAACTGAAAGTTTCCTCTCAAAATTGCTAATCAAATGTTAGAAGAATTACGTATAAGATTTTTTTCCTACTTTGTATATTTTTTCTTTCTCCTTGTACAAGCAGCTAATTGTGTTTGTACATGTACTTAAGCATTTGCAGCTAGGAAGTAAAATTTCTTATCAAAATTATATGCACATTTGTATATACATATGTAAGTCCCAATTAAATGCTAGAGATTTATTTTTCTCCCTCTTATAGCCTGTTATTTATATTATTTTACATGGCAGTTTGGATGTAAAGTAAACTTAGTTTAAGCAAACCATATATATTTTAATATTTTATAGAACTCATAAATTAAGGAGGATGAAGTACTATACTTCACAAAGTAATCATTTTAAATAGACCTTAATGAATGGTGTCTGTTAGTGAATGTTTGATTTACCCACTGTTAGAAATACAGGTATCAAAGCAAGGTGCTCTTTAAGAAAGTTAATGTTGCTAGTCTTGATTCTAACAGCCCTACCTTCTTTCCTAGTTACTTTTTAGCTGTAAATGTTTAAGTTGTTAAAGTTGAGATAGAAAAAAGTTCTTGCTCTATAATGTTAAATATCTGTACGTGTGTGTGTGTGTGTGTGTGTGTGTGTGTGAATGCCCTTTCCTCCAGAAATTGCTCTGTATTTACTTTATATAAATTCTATATTTACTTATTTTTGTTTGTATTGTTTCTCCCTAGTAAAATGTAAGCTCCTTGAGAGCGGAGATTTTTCCCCCCTTTTTTTGTCTTTTAATAAACCCAGCTCCTGGCATAATGCTTATCATATAGTAGGCATTTAATAAATACTCTTTGAATAAATGAATGATGATACTGAACCATGAGAAAAAGGTTACATTTTATTCAATATCCTCTACTTAAAAAAGCAGGGTACTATGTTTTGCATTTTAGAGCTTCAGCAGAAATTATTAAAATGAAAAGTTTTGATGCTAACCAAATTTTGTCAATGCTGAACTCTATTCTCCTACAAGAAGTAGGACACTATTGTGTCTGCATATCAACTTGGTAATGTTGATCAGTAGTCTTTCAAATGCTTGTATTTTGCATGTTACATATCTTTTACCAGCCTAAAAGTTGATTTATTTAATTGGTAGCAACTCTTTTTGATAGGGGCTCTCAGTAATGGAATTTTAAATACCATTGAGTGTCCTTAGGAACAAAAAATAAGCACAAATAAAATTCACATCTTGAAGTGATTTCAGTGAGTAAAGTATACATTAATAAAACACTCAAATTAGTATGTTAAAAATAAATGCATCCTCATAGACTTTGAATTTGCCTTTCATAGGTGGACTAGTAATAGTTGGCCATATTTATATGGCACTTTAAAGTTTGCAAAGGTACGTGTGTCATCTTATTTAACCTTCACAACAAACCTGCAAGATTTTTTAGGTCTTATTATTCCCTTTTAAGGCTCTGAGAAGTTAAATGAATGCCCATGGTCACATAACTAATAAGGATCCAGGATAGAATTATGGAGCTATTTTTTTAGAATCAATATATAAAAATAGAATCTGGTATAGTTTACCATACATTTGTGTAACTGAAGTTTTTATTATCAAAAATCATGTCCTAGTATTTGACTTTTCTTTTCCCATATTTTCATAAAGATTCAGTGCAGTAGAGAAAGTAGGCATATGTGTTTGTAGTTCTTGACATCATCTTGATGACTTTTTTTAGGGGGTAATCATAGCCACATTTCCCCCCTCACCATCCCACTAAGGTAAGGTTTAAGTGCTGGACTTGGAGTCGGTAAGGCCTCTGTATCTATGATCAGATTCAGCTTCAGCTTCTGATATTGACTGCTGTTGTAACCATGGAGAAAGGAGGAGCAGAGAAGTAGAAATAATACATTTCAGTGAAAGATTCCTAGTAGTCATCAGATTCCTTTAATTTCATTAAACTCTTTTAAAATTTGTATTAAGAGGGATGATAAGAAAAGAGGAATATATTAGAGGTAACAATGGAAGGAAATACACAGTTGAAAATCACAGCAATGAATGCGAATGGGCCAAACTTGCTCATGTAACAGAGGAAGGTAGCAAAATGGATAAACAAAGTTTAACAGTATGTTGATTATAAGAAGCACACTTGAAATAAAAAGAGTCAAAAAATGAAGAACTAGAGCAGAGTTTATTGCATTTGTTTATCCCACCCCCCAACTCCCCTTCTCTCTTATCTCCATGCTGGTCCTCCTCACAAATGTTTTACTTCTGATCACCACCTCCTCCAGTTCTCCCTCTCTTCTATCCACCCCCACCCCCTTCTATTATTCTCATCCCTTTTTACTTCATTATAGGGTAAGAGAGATTTCTGTATCCAACTGAGTGTGTATGTTATTCCCTCTTTGAGCCAGTTCTGATGAGAATAAGGTTTAAGCTTTGCTTGTTACCCCCACCAACCCCACATCTTCCCCTCCTTTATAAATATCTCTTTAATGCCTCTTTTGCATGAGATAATTTACCCCATTCTGTCTCCTCCCCCTTCTTCCAGTATAATCTTCTTTCTCATCCTTTTTTTGGGGGGGGGAGTATCATCCCATCAAAGTCACCTTATATCCAAAGTCACCCTCTATCTATCTGTATTCCTTCTAATTGCCCTTATAGTAATAAAGTTCTTAAGAGTTACAAATATTATCCTGCCATATAGAAATACAAACAGTTTAACTTTATTGAGTCTTGTATTTGGAGATCAATTTTTTTATTCGGTTCTGGGGTTCAATCATTTTAGAGAGCAATTTGGAGCTGTGCCCATTTATACTTTGACCCAGATGTTCTGGCCTGGTCCTGACCCAGGTCAGTCACCTGATAGTTTAGGTTTGATGTCGGAATCAAATGAGTTCTCCTACCTAGTTCATCCAACAGTTAATAGCAGAAAATTTTTTTTACTCAGCAATAGTGGAAGGATATTCAGCAGTGGTGGGTACTGAGGATACCTCAGGTTGATTTCAGCTGAGATGAGCTCCCTTGCTTGAATTATCCTTTGAGATTATGATCCAAGCATCACGGAATGCCTTGAACTCCTCATAACTGTTTTGTTCTTAGGCAGTGAGGAAATGATGTTAACAGCCTGAGGCTTACTCTCCTGAGCCAATCAATTCTTGAGGAATATCTCAATAACTTTTAAGGAAAAATTAGCCTAACTCAAATAAGATTAGAATATTGTTTCTACCATCCCAAGTGATACCATTAGACCCCAAGAAATTCAAAGAAGGAATCAAAGGACTCACATGTACAAAAATATTTTTAATAGCTATTTTTGTTTTGGCAAACAACTGAAAACTAAAGGGGTGACCATTAATTAGAAAATGGCTAAAGAAATTATGGTATATTAATATAATGGAATGTTGTTGAACTGTAAGAAATGATGAAAGGAATAGTTTCAGAGAAATCTTGGGCTTGTCTGAAGTGATACCAAATGAAGTAAGCAGAACTGAGATTACAATTTATGCAATGCCAGCAACATTGTAAAGAAAAGAACTTTGAAAGACTTAAGAAGTGTGATCAATGCAATGACCAGTCACAATTCCCGAAGACTTATGATGAAGCATGCAACCCACCCCTGAGAGAATGGGGACGGACTAATTGCCATTGTGCGAATTTGTTCTCAAGGGTTTTTTTTTAATTTGTTTTTCAGTTTTGACAGGAGGAATATGGGTAGCAATAGTGTTGCTAAAAGAAAAAGAAAATATAGAAATGATCATTGAAGCATTTTTGAAAATGCACAGAAGAGAACAGAAGGAAACATAAATAAGCAGGACAGCTTTGAAGGTTGTTTATAGTTTCCTGGGAAACTATAAACAGAAGGTTGCTGGGAAGTGTTTAACAATTGACTCTCCAAAAATAAAAAAATGTGTGTGTGCACCACACACTTTTAAATTTAATCTGTATTATTAACATTTTTCCTGTCACTTTCTTAAATCCAGAAATCAGCAAAATAAATCAAGCTCCAATTTGTAGTGTTCATTTATTTCCAAGGCATAAATGTTCTCGTTGAAGATTTAACAACCAGCTCTCATGAGCCAATATGAATTGTCTCTAGCAAACCCCTAGTTATATGTTGCATTTATTACATACTCAGAAGGAAAAGTAAACTGTACATAATACAGTTTCACTGTTTCAAGTACAGTTATCACCTGCTTTCTACATAGAAATGCTCATTTAGTTTGGTATTAAAAGTTAAGTTCAGAATTTAAAAAACAGGAAGGT